AGCATTTCCACACCGCTGTCTTAACGTGAGCATTTCCACACCGCTGTCTTAACGTGAGCATTTCCACACCGCTGTCTTAACGTGAGCATTTCCACACCGCTGTCTTAACGTGAGCATTTCTACACCGCTGTCTTAACGTGAGCATTTCCACACTTGAGAGTTTCTACTTTTACACTAAATAGAAGTACAAACATAACATCATAGACGTAATTAATTAGCATTGCTAGTGAGATTTGAAGCATATATCCTACACAAGTTTTAGAGCATCTTTTGTAGGTTATGGGAACCGTCTTAGATTCTTTATTTATGTGATGTCGTGTCTTGACAGGCAAACAAGATACATATCAGTGAGACTACGAAATGTGAGGTCGACACTATGCCGTACAAGATTGAGGAACGGGGGTCCGTTGAAGTAAAGGTAATGTATTAACTTATAAAATAGCCAAGATAGTTTGTTAACATCTAACATTATCATCGATCAAGGGAGTTTGTTGACATATTTAATTAACATCAGTCAGGGTAGAACTGTAAGATTTCAAATTGATATCTGTCAATGTATTTTGTTGACTTTATCAGTTAATCAGTCAGTGGACGTTGACAGCCTAAGAAAATCATCTAATACTAAGCAACGTAGTTTTTTAACACCTTAACGTCACTATATAAATATCATATACATGAAGTCTACAGATTTGAAAATAATCTGATTATCTTCCATACAACTTATGGGTTAGGGATATTCACTGAATCACAAAACTGTATTTCCTATCCATACTATGACAATTTTTTTTTTACCTAAATAGCTTATTTTTGGCAATAAGGATGCAAACCCAATCTCATTCGTTCATCGCACGAAGATCATTAGCGTTCAGTTGCTATTGTTTCTTTTTTGCTAAGAAAAACATTTGAAAACTGTTTACCCGCTTTCAGATGTCACTCCTTAGTGGTCGCTTCTTATAAAACATCAGATAAGAACGCCTTTCGACAACGTTAATGATTGCTGATTTACAATGACCTAGGTATTGCAACTCTACAAAACAATAACAACAATATGTAAATATATGTACGTGTTCAAAACATTAATGTTTACTACTATATGAGCAAGACTAGATACGCCGTAATTACATCGTATATAACCGTTTTCCTTTGGTGATTGTAGGGAAAAGGCCACATGAAGACGTATTGGTTATTGGGGACAACGGGGGAGATAATCATTCCAGTTTCAGACACATCTTCTCCCGACATCGGTCGAGCTGCATCCCTTAAATCGCCAACCTGGAACCGAGCTACGTATTCGCCAGTGTCTGTGGAGGATACAAACAGTTTCAGGTCTGGCAGATCGACACCTTGCATATCACCAACCCCAATACGTAAACTCAACAAGAGGCAAAACGATAAAGCAACGGAAGATAACAAAACCTCGACCGTCAAACATCTGGCGGTTAAAGAGGCCGAAAAAGAACCGAGGAAAGTTGACGTCAATAAAACTAAAACAAAACAAGACATAAAAGCCGTACCTTCGAGTGAATCAGAGAATTCAAAGACGGAATTAAAAGAAACATCAATACCAGCAAAGGAAACCACAACATCAAAAGAAATTTCCAGAAAGCCATCAAAAGTAGATATTAAAAAGGATCAAATAAAAATCCCGGACACAGCCAGTCACAAGAACGGCTCAAAGGATTCCACCAAAACAGATGAGGAAGTGGTTCCGAATGGTGGACAATCTTCGAAGGCTGCACAACCTGCTGTTAGGAAAACAACAGATGAAAAGATTGATAAGAAATATCCTGGTCCGAGTCCATCCGTTAACCCACCTGTTAACAGTCCCCAAGTCCGTAACGTTCCGCCACCTCGAGCAACCAAAACACCCCCTAGTACACCCCGCAAGACAATCGACTTGCTTGCAATGGAAGCAAAGCTTAAAGAAGACGCAGAGTCATTGGCTAACAATGGCTACGTTTCCCTGGAAACGTCATTACATAAAGTAGCGCAAGCTGACAGTAACCAAACTCCAGTAGTATCAACGACACCAAAGGAGGTAACTCTGTCCAACAACGCTCCAAAATATGTTGATCCTGAACCCGTTATGGCAGCCATCGAACAACCTAAAACAAGGCCCTTAGAACAGAGTCAGACATGCGTTTTATTGTGATAAACATTTTATTCGAACTTTGAAGATCTCAGTTTACCAAGACTTCATAATTTTTGTGATAGATGTGTTTATTTATTATCGGTCGACTGAATATATATATCCATTTATCATTTCCAGATGTTGATATACAAATATAAAGATAAAGTAGATACATGTATATATAGATGAGCATGTTTCATCCATGATATCAGAAATAATAAGAAAACAAAATAACAACGACAGATTTTAGTAATCCTGAAGAATTTTACCCTCCTAAGATTTTAGAGTCCAAAATGGAATAAAAAATTAATTTACGTCACATTCTTGTTACGTGATGAAATAACATGTATCACTAGCAGATGTGTGAAATATAAACACACATATAGGTCGTAATGCAATGATACGATAAGTAAAGAAACGTTTAGAAATCTATTTATTTTAATATCGATATTTTTTCAGGAAATGACGTGTATTGCCCTAGTGCATACTTATGTCTTCTCATACGGGTGATTACCATAGTTTTTTGTAATAACAAACGCCTCCTGCGTCAGCATCGGATCAGACTTGACGTAGTTGATGCAGGACCACTTTAAAATACTCGCGGACCACGTCGTTTGTTTCCATTAACCATATATTGTTAAATATCCTACCTATTCAGGCGTATTGTTCCGGAGCGGATAGAGTGTTATGCAATCAGATGATACATCAGAATGCATATTTCATTTTACCGGAAGATGTGAGTGGTGTAGGAAATCAATTTTCTAAACCACATATTTTTGTTTGATCACCATATTAACACTTCATTACGCGTCTTGTAATTGTTTGTACATACTTCTATCTTCTAGTAAAGATACATATTTACATTCCTTTTAGTCTTTGACACGGCACCAGTCTCTAGAGAATAACAGCTTGATACCATCAAAAACGGTTTGTGATAGCAAATGATATTTCAATGCACATCAGATTGTAGTCATATCTGAACTGCAAATAATATGGTTTATTTTCCAAGAAAACGTTTATTGTTATTGTCGCTTTTTAAAATTCAGTTTACTTTTATATACATATATTCACTTAATTAAATATTCTTTTGTGAGTCTGTTAAAATCTAATACTCACTGATGACACATACAAGAGGCCCAGAGGGCCTGTATCGCTCACCTGGATATCTAAGCAATCATGGCAAAATATTCTCCAAATGAGATCCAAGGGAATATGCCAGACCCCAAGGCCAATCCTTGTAGCATATCTGTATTTGATTTGTTATGCCCAGCAATTTTATGTATGGCTATGGGGTGGGGATCTCAACTGTTTCCAAGCTGTGACTCAGAAACTAGGTCCCCAGGGTTGTGGCCAGACCCCAGGATCAATTCTAATATAATAACTACATTTGACTCTTTTTGCCCAGCATTTGTATATAAAGTTTTGGGTTGGGGATCTCAACTGTTTCAAAGTTATGACCCAGGGGTTATGTCTGCAAGGGCGGGGCATACCCTGGTGTCAATTCTAATATCACGACTGCATTCGTCTCTTTATGCCCAATAATTGTATATATAGTTTTGTGGTTGGGATCTTAACCGTTTCAAAGTTATGACCCAGGGGTTAAGTCTACAAGGGTGGGGCCAGACCCTAGAGCCATCCTGGAAGCAAATGTGCATTCCTCTCTTTATACTCAGCAATTGTATATATGGTTATATGGTGGGGATCTCAATCATTTACAAGTAATACTTTTTTTGGCCCCACCCCTTTTCCCGGGGGGTCAGCCCCACCATTTGTACAATTTTGAATCCCTGCCTCCCATGAATGCTTCCACCAAAATGATCAATATCCATGGTATAGTTCTACGGAAGAAGTTGTTTATAGCAATATAGCCAAATTGCCCCCTTTTGGCCCAGCTCTCAGTCCCCTGGGGGGTCAGCCCCACCATTTGTACAATTTTGAATCCCCATCACCTACATTTAGGAATGCTTCCAGTCAAATATGGTTGATATCCATCTCTTAGTTCCAGAGGAGATGTCGCTTAAAGGAATATAGCCAAATTACCCTCTTTTTGCCCCGCCCCTCAGCCCCCTGGGGGTCAGCCCCACCATTTGTACAATTTTGAATCCCCACCACCTAGGGAAGCTTCCAACCAAATATGGTTGATATCTATCTATTAGTTCCAAAGAAGAAGTCGCTTAAAATAATATAGCTAAATATCCCTTTTTGGCCCCGCCCCTCAGCCACCACGGGGGTTAGCCACACCATTTGTACAATTTTGAATCCTTGCCTCCCATGAATGCTTCTGATTAAATATGATTGATATCCAATGTATAGTTCTACAGAAGAAATCGTTTGTAGCAATATAGTCAAAATGCCCACTTTTGGCCAAGTCCCTCAGCCCCCTGGGTGGTCAGCCCGACCATTTGTACAATTTTGAATCCACACCACCTAGGGATGCTTCCAGTTAAATATGGTTGATATCCATCTCTTAGTTCAAATATAGACAAATTGCCCCCTTTTTGCCCCGCCCCTCAGCCCCCTGGGGGGGCAGCCCCACCATTTGTACAATTTTGAATCCCCACCACCGATGGATGCTTCCAGTCAAATCTAGTCAAATTCCAATCAGTGGTTAAGAAGAAGAAGTGGTTTAAAGAAGTTGTTGACGGACGGACGACGGACGACGGACGGACGACGGACGCCACGGTATGGCATAAGCTCACCTTGGTCCTTCGGACCCCGGGAGCTAATAAGACTGTTAAAACAAAAAAAATGCTGTCGTAAAAAAACCTTATTTTCTGATTGACGTATTCGTTATATCGCTAAATCACTTCAGCGTTAAACAACGAAAACATCGGGCATCACCTGTTCAAAGATCTGTCATATATACCTAAACTCTTATAAATGGCAGTAGTTGTTTCATTTTATTTTCAAATGAGTGTTTCTGTTAGATTTTCAGTTAAAACAATCGTTGTTAATGAATAATTGATATCTTGATTATCCCAAAAGGTGAACTCTACAATAGTTTTCGTTAGTTTGTAAACAGTAAGGTCAACACTATCATCTTGACAAAAGATATGGTAGGCAGTGATTTCAAACAGCTCTAGTTTTTTGAATGTTTGATTTACTGTGAATTACTTTAATTGAGCGAATAGACTTTCAATGGCCGTATTCGTAAGGGCATGTGTTTGCCTGTCACGCTTGTGTGTTACTCTTTCACATTCGACACTAAACATGAATTAAGCGAAAATTACTTTCCTGCAAAACAGAAGGGATCTACAGTATTGTCCTTTGGCATTTTTTTGTCACTTAGAAAACATGGCGTTTGTCACCTGTTGGATTGCTTGAAATGCTTTTTTGTTGTTGTTATAATGCTTGCGGGTTCCTATCGTCATTCTGTATCAATATTTCGATTCTGTCTATGATATTGACAGTATTAGTTTCTTTTCTTTAATTTTCATAATTGTACGCACCACAAATATTACAGTATGCCATTGTTAGTTTGTTCAATTGTACGTCTCTTGTAAGATACTGACCAAACATGTTTCCCGTTATCAATGGTTTAGTTTCTCGTGATTGATTTTTCGTGATATGTGTATCCTTATGATATGATTTATTCATCAATCTGTATCAGTTTAGGAGATACTGGAATTCCTGTTTTATAGTTATTTTGATTTTAGTTAATATCTATTTGTAAATGGTATTTTACAAAACCGTGGTATACAGGTAATAACGCTTTGTTTCCATATGACCTGGTACCTTTGTCAAGCTTAGCATGTCTTCTAACCAACGTACCACATGAAGATTGATCACAAAGGGAACTAAAAGCATGTAGTTGAATACTATGCTATCAACTTTTATGGTTAACCTAGCACTAGCACTACCATGACAGTATATATAAGGCCGTATGTACAATGAGTAGTTACCATGACGATAGTATCAGTTTATACTAAAGCGAAGCATTAAAACGTGCTCTTCTGTTTTACAATGTTTTCCTTTATACAGTCGATCATCAATAATGCATCCACCACTAATCAGGTTGTTACAATATCTAGTCAGTATTTTAGACAACAAAGTTTCCATGCAATGTTGTTTCTATCATCAGGGGTCTAACAATCAAACCACTTTTGCAGATATTTGATATGTCCGGGTTGATAACGTCAAGGTGATTGGACTATCGAGACTCCACTGTTCGTATGCAATAGAGTTGATTTTGTCTCGATTTGTTTTCCTATTTATCTGTGATACTTGCACTTGGATGATGAATACTCATTGTTAGTTTGTATTGATTGTATTGTTGTCAGCTCATCACTGAATTCCAATCGTATGATGACATACTTTAACTGTTGTTCTAGAGAAAAAGAAAGTATGAGAGATACAGTATGCAGTTTACATAATAATTGTTACTTAAGGCTATGCATGGTATCTTACTGTGGCGCATACCTCTTTTCTGTATCAAAAAAACCCCATTGTGAAATATCTTTTAATATCTCAAAGGTAGGCATTGATGGAATACTGTTCCAAGGGAGATAACTCGTGTTAATTACCGACGACATACTTACTATCATTTGCGTAGTTTTAAGCCTTTTACCTGGCAGCCATTTTTCATGACATCAGATGAGATTCCATATTTATCATTAATAATTAGGCCTAGATTGACATGAAATTCTATACACGTTTCCAGGATATTACAATAATGTTTTTTGTTTGGTGAAAGATTCAAGGAAGCGTTTCTGGTTTGTTTTTGGTTTATTTGTAATTAAAGTTATATCAAATTGGGTTGAGAGGTTTTGTGAAAGGTATTTGGTTCTCAAGATATACATCTAATGACATAATTAAGCAAATCTGATGTTTTCTGTTGAGCAGCTTGCTATCCAATTTTATAGTACTTCGGCTTTTCCGAAAAATCCATCTGTCTTGGATTATTTTGATATAATTATTTTTTCTGATTAAAGCAATGGTATTTATTATGAAATTAAAGAATAGAAGTTAATTTGGAAAATGATAGTAAAAAATCCTAGTTAGCAAAAGTCATTGTTTTTTAATGGAACTGTGAACGTACGAGTCTGTGAAACAAGGATACCCCCCAAAAATGTTCTAGTCAATGTGAGTGATGTCGCCATGATAGTTGACGTCATCAATGCTGTTAATACATTGACAGGTGCATTTGTAATTTATCAACCAATATTGAAGTCCCACTGATAAGGTAAAGAATGTACGTACATCCATGTACAATCTTCATTCACAAATCGGATATGTAAATGCAGCAAAGCCTAAATAGTTGTTACAAATGTTGTTGTAAATATTTTGTCTTTGTAAATGTTACAATGATTTTGTATTTACTATGGTTGTGGCAATATCGGCAGTTTTGTCTGCATCTCACCTGTAATATTCCGCTATTTTTTTCCTTACATATTTTTAAGCAAACGAACAACTTCTAAAACTACCGATCCAGTTAAATTATGTCTGCGTGGCGTGTCTATCGCCACAAGTTGTAGTGGAAAATATTATTTATTTATAACGGGAGATAGATTTTCCTATTGTAAGTAAGTAGCTGTTATAATATATTAAACGTAAAAATAAGTGCTAATTGCCGGTGACATCAGTTTGATAATTGTACGTGTTGAATAAATGTATTATTTGTTTTTAAATGTGGTTAGTGTGAAGTTGGCTAAACTAATTCTGAACTTGCTTTATATTTTTCTTACTATATTTACGATATTTAAGCTGTGGGAATATCGCTGATTTTGCTGTAGAAATCAACGCTAAAACATTCACTCGCAAGCTTACTGACATTCATGTTTTATGAAATATATATTGGAGCAAGAAAATATAAACACTTCTGATAATTACGTTTTGAATATATTTAGCCAGCAGAACAATGTAAACATATATATTTCTTCACATTAAATAATATAAATGACTTCAAATGAAGGAAGTGTAATAGGTTTTTTTACAAGCTACCACATTCTGAGATACATATTGTTTTATTAGTGTTCCATGCTAAAACATTTCTCAAACACACATTATATAACGTAAAACTGTAAAGATGTAGCAGGCAGGCTCAATTACAACAATGGTATCTTATCATTGAAATGAGAAAATGTTGCGTGACATTGCAATTTGTAATGCCGTATGTCAAATATGTTCTGTTTATGTTCAGTCAGTTTTGTTTATTAAAATAATATTAGAGATACTCTACTTTAAAAAACGCTCGACCATACTTACATATGCCAGTGACGAAAAAATGACACAGGCAGAAGAAGAAACACACTAGGTTTTTTTCGATTTGATAAGACAATACAGTGATTGGTACAACCAGAGTGGAAATGGGAGAGTATTTCTATTCACAGTAAAGCTTACTTACACTGCCTGGTGGAATATTGGCATTTTATATGTGGATTGCGATACACTAAGGGGGTCCTGTAGAGAAACAATTCATGAAAAAGGAAAGTAAGATCAACAGGCAAGAGGGGGAATGAAATGAGTAATATTATATCGGTTTAACTGTGTTTTGACAAAGAAGGGACGTTACGACGTGGTTTAACTGCATTGTTGCCATATTTTGGTGAAACGGCATTGGCAACAAACGACTCCAGATTTAAACATTGTAATGCAGTTCGTTTAAGTGTTTAACAGTTTTCTTCACATTATGTCCCACAATCTGATATCATCATTGCCAATTTTGCGTTATAAACATGTTATAACACACTGCATAAGGTGAATGTATGATATTCTATCAGAAATGCGCTACAGGTGTGTATCCGTCTTTCTATTTTTAGAGTTGATTTTTCCAGAAGATGTAGAAAAAAACAGTATCATTCGGTTCGAATCTTTATAGATGGAGTGTTGTATATCTTGTTAGCTTTGTTTAATGTTTAGGCATATTTCAGAACATTCTAAGATTCATATAATACTTCTGTGAATTTAATAGTTTTCTATTTATAGCAAAATAGAAATAAACTTGCTAATATGAAAACTGAATGTCATAACCTAAACAAATGAAATCCAAATAGATAAAATGTATAAGGACTTAAGCAACTATTATGGTTCAGTATGCGGAAAAGAGAAGTACAATTACAATAAAAGCGGAACATAATACCATTGCTTTAAAAACTAATTGTGATTGTCCAAATCAGTAAAAGCTACAAGATGTCGGACAAAACTTATACAAAAGAAATAATGAGGAGTTTGACACAAATCAGTCTGTTACACTGCTTACGTATTAGTAATGCTTAGCATGCGATAATTTCCGATGCTTACTCTAAAAATTCCTTCCGAATGACAAAAGAAATGTGAATTATTTAGAGGCTCTTTGTAGACTACATAACATATTTTATGTAAATTGTTTGTACTGAATGATGATATTGTGTTGAAACTTCAAACCTAACCACTATTGGTGTTTCCTGTAATTTATTATTTCCATTTTTGTAATTAAACCGGTCTATGGAACTTCAATTGAAAGTGTTGTTTTGTAAGTGTATTGTCATTAATTCCAGCACATTAATACAAAATGAGATAACGGCGTGATACCAGGAAAAATTTGGTGTATCTCCTGTTATATTCCCGTAACAGGTAAGAGGATAGAAGCATAGATTCTTCCTAGGCTTAGATTCGGATCAACAAATGGCAATAAAGCTTGTAGTATTTAATGTGTTTGTAACAGATCATCTAAGATAGTGACAATGAACATAGGAAAGGTTATAGCGACAATTACAATTAAAACAGTTAATATATAACTTCTACAAGAAGGACATGTAAGTGTCAGTCAACATTAATGTTAGTAGAGATCTATGTTACGGTATCACCGTCAGTGTAGTTACAGGGATTCCTCAGTATAACTGACCAATTTTTCAGGCTACCATAATAACATTGCATAAATGTCTAACATGCTGGAATCACGATTCTGTCACCTGTGTCAGGAATCACAACTTCGTGTATATAGTTTGATCTTGTCTTTATATTCCTTAAAAGTCCTGCATGTATCTGTGTCGGTCGTATCTATTAAGCACATCATGCTTTAATATAGGAGCGTATTCCGATGTAGTTTCAACCTTTATTTAAAGATTGGAAAGAAGCAACTAGTATCGAATGCATACCATTCAAATATGGAAAACTTGTTCAATACTTGTCGGATGATGTCGAAAATGTGCACGCGCATTATTATTGAAATTCTTTTGCAGCGCTGCCAAGGCGCTAAACTATTATATAGCGCGTCCGTGAGGCATCTGTGTGGTGACAGAATTAGTTCAATGGCCCTCGGATGAATATGTTATATTCAATACTTCTTACGTGCAATTATTATCAAGCTCGTAAAGTACATGGCCCTGTCCAGAACAAATATGTTGGCGAGCTGCTTTAAAAAGAGCTATTTCTTCGGTCAAAATGTATGACAGCTACATAACTGCAATTTTAACAAAGAAATGGCTCTATGATGACATTGGTGTGGCTAGCTTTAGCAGTGCAAGGAGGGAGGCAACTCCAACGGAATGCTTAAAAATCATGATAGATAAACGACACAATAAAGTATCTAAACAAAATAACGAAAAAAGAAACAAAAAGCCCATAATATCAACGGATAATTAAAAAAAATTAAAAAAGAGAGACAATGAAATAACAAAACAACCCAAGGCGAAATAATTATATAAAAAGTCAATGAAATTAAGAATCAACGAAATAAACAAATAAGTGTATCTGAAACACGTTCATGAATAAGTTAATTAACATGTTTTTTTGAAAAGATTAGGTTTTAGTTTCTTTTCTATGTACAGTCATGTGTGTTCTGACCGATGCTTAAAATCACATTTAGAAGAAAAAAAATGCATCAATTACGTTTTTCTGATTGAAAATAACAAATAAAGAAACAACAGCATAACGAAAAATAAACCTACAAAACAACGAAGTGATCATGAGGAGAAATCGAAATAGGCGATATCGTCACGTAACAAAAACCAAACAACAAATAACGTAATCATGAAACAAAGAAAAACACACCGAGAAATGACGACAAAGCACATTATCAGACATCGTGTTTATGACCATTTTGATATATATAACCATGTCATTATAAATCTTCAACAAAAACGGGTTAATTTTTTACCATTTTTATTACATTTGATCAATATATGAATTAGCAGTATATAAAATAAATTAATAAGATTGCTAAACCAAGTCTGTCAATAAATAGCATTGGAATCTGATCTCCCGGAAATGACACGAAGATCAGCGCCTCCTGTTGACGGATACTACGGCTGTGTTACACTGTCGAAAGGTTGTTAATGAACGGTCCATGATACATCTGTAGGAGAGGCTATTTCCAAAATATTCGCCACACGACTCGCATATCTCAACGAACGCGCTGAAGGTGTGGCCTTTCGGAGTGTTCCTGAAACGAGGTCAAAACACAGATATTGTACAACCATTAACAATGAAAAATATAGTAAAACTCGAAAGGACATAAAAAGACAAATTACACCCCTTTTTGACAAATCTTTCTGAACAATTCTTTCAATGACTTTTTGTTCTATCCAGTTGGGCCTACTGTTTAAATGATGTGTAAGTACTCCAACACTATGACATTACAGTAGTACGTTTGATGCGCACGTTGTTCCTACAGTGCATTCCAGAATTATTCCAGTCAGCATTGCAAAAAATGGTGTATATGAGATACAAACGAATGCATGAAGCTCATATTCGAAAAGGGGATTAATACAGTGCCAGAAGTATGAGGTTCGGCGCAAATGTTACTGGAAACGCCATTTTGAACATAGTTGTTCCTGCCCCTTTGTTTTATTTGTTGTGGTATGTCCAAGGATCAGTTAATGGATATTTATAAGCAAGCAGACGTAGTTATTGCAAGGAACAAGTTCACATCAAAGATCTTAAAACGATAAATTTTATTATCATAACAAATGAACGGTTTGTGACTCCATTGACGTGGAATATGATAGCTCAACTCAAAAGACGTTAAGTTGCGACAGAAACATTTGTGCTACGGACTTGAGAGTGGTAAGAAAATATCCTTTCCCTACTGTGACCTTCACCTTTAGACAACCTACAGATGAGTGATATATATATACGATATAATACATGCATCTCAGACATATAATCGAAAGATGTTACGCCATTTAATAAAAGTTATTATCCCGAATCCAATAGAATTTTAAGACATTTATCACGGAAATATGACCTTCATATTTTTATCTCATCATTATGTATCTTTCTATCAACTTTTTAGATATATATGAAGGCGTGCATAACTCATCGCCAAAACAAGACAACGACGTGGACAGCTTTAAAAACTATACATACTTTCGTTTCTCCGTATTAATCGAGTTTGCGGCTAAACGACATATAAATTTGCTGATATAAATCAGGCTATTAAATATAACTCAATTTTGAAATTAACGTATAACCGCTGGCTTAAACAAAATTTTGTTTTAAATATTCGAATCGTGCGCAAATGACATATGCGAACATTTGAGGAACAGGAAGAAACAAAATGACTCTATGTCGGTGTGATCAACTGATAAAACTACGAGAGGAAAAAAAGGTGGACGGATATTAAAGAAGGTGACCAGGTAAATGACTCACCGTCTGACAAGACTCTCTAGGGTATTAGCCATACAGCAAGAAAGCAGACAGCCTAGCAACAGTAGGCACGTAACTCTGGCCATCAATACGGGTAGGTCTGTGGTCGAATCAACTGGATACCTGAAGGATAAGTAAGATATAAGTGTTAAAGTATTGAAGGTAATGTAACATGGCATACCTGTATAATGAAGAGTAATCAGTATTATTGCAGGACAAGTATTACACAAATATCACCAGTAAATCGAGCATTGTAAATGTTAATGCAAGATTAATAAAAGTGGTTTTTTTATATATATTTGAGGTCCGTTAGTGTATAATTTAATGTATTGTCTATACATAATCCCCCTGGCCGCCTTTTATTTTGATTTGAAATATTTAAGAAATAGGGCGTTCAATCCAACGTGCTGCAGAAATATTGGATAAACGTCGGTACTCTTTGATTTAAGAAACGGTTATTTGAACGGTAATTCGATTTCATTGTTTCACTTATGTTGGTGGCATCCTCTTGCTAATGCCGTGAAAACTGTTGGTATGTCTGAAAGAATTTCCCAACTAGATATATCATCACCACAGAAAATGGCCTCACATGGTAGCATTCATATCCCACCGAAACTGGACGCGAGAGAAACAGACACATGAAAGAGCAACAAATTCATGGCAGTAATCGTTTGCGGTATGATGTAGAAAGAACCAAGGTACCAAAACATAAAGCCATAGGATGCATCTGTCCAGAAGACCTCGTAATATACAAAAGACTGGCATTAACAGGAGATGAAAGGAATTATATTGATTAAATAGTATTTTATTGGCAAAACAAACCTCACTTTGGAACGTTACTTATTCAGTACAAACAACACGAAAGGTATGCAATCCAGTCACTATCCAGCGTGTTATTTATTTAAGAATCAACATGAGTGAAAGTTTTAAGAGAAAGGACTCAAAGTTAATTTAGACGGATGTTAAAATCACCTTGAAATGTCAACAATCAATCATATTATATGAAAAGGTTCGTGGCTATGAGTCTACTGTGATAAGGTTACTATCTTAGTCGTCTGAAAGAAAGTGTATTCAAAGTATTTACAGCGAATGTTTGATCTATTTATAAATGTATAGATCTATAAATCCCAGCTACCTATAACTATTATTTGCCTATAACTACTACCTGTGTATAACTATCTATAAATCCCACCTATCTATAACTGGTATATGCCTATATCTATCACCTGTGTATAACTATCTATAAATCCCATCTACCTATAACTATTATTTGCCTATAACTATCACATATGTATAACTATCTATAAACCCCACCTACCTATAACTTTTATTTGCCTATAACTACCACATATGCATAACTATCTATAAATCCCACCTACCTATAACTAGTATTTGCCTATAACTACCACCTATGTATAACTATCTATAAATCCCACCTATCTATAACTGGTACTTGCCTATAACTACCACCTATGTATAACTATCTATAAATCCGACCTACCTATAACTATTATTTGTCTATAACTACCACCTGTATACAGTTAACAATAGCGGCTTCCTGACTATACTATCACATTGTCGTCTATCTAAGATTAACACTTGATTTACCACCTACTACTTGTCTTTATTGCTAGCTCCATAATACATCTACTTTGCTATAGTTCTACACCTGTGTTTGATCACAGACTTTCTTTTACTACGAGTACAATAGTTCCAGACCGTTAGCCATAAACCCCTTTCTTCCCTTGTATGAGTATGATAGTTCCAGACCGTTACCCCCAAACCCCCTCTCTTCCCTTGTTTGAGTACAATAGTTCTAGATCGTTAGCCCCAAACCCCCTTTCTTCCCTTGTATGAGTACAATAGTTCCAGACCGTTAGCCCCAAACCCCGTTTCTTCCTTTGTATGAGTACAATAGTTCAAGACCGTTAGCCCCAAACCCCGTTTCTTCCTTTTTATGATTACAATAGTTCCAGACAGTTAGCCCCAAACCCCGTTTCTTCCCTTGTATGAGTACAATAGTTCCAGATCGTTAGCCCCAAACCCCTTTCTTCCCTTGTATTAGTACAATAGTTCCAGATCGTTAGCCCTAAACCCCCTTTCTTCCCTTGTACGAGTACAATAGTTCCAGACCGTTAGCCCCAAACCCCTTTTCTTCCCTTGTATTAGTACAATAGTTCCAGATCGTTAGCCCCAAACCCCGTGTCTTCCCTTGTATTAGTACAATAGTTCCAGACCGTTAGCCCCAAACCCCCTTTCTTCCCTTGTATTAGTACAATTGTTCCAGATCGTTAGCCCCAAACCCCCTTTCTTCCCTTGTATTAGTACAATAGTTCCAGATCGTTAGCCCCGAACCCCCTCTCTTCCCTTGTATGAGTACAATAGTTCCCTTGTGCGATCTGTATTGACAGAGTTGGCTCTAATACATTCAATCACTTTAAACACAACACCATAAGGTTGGTTGTTTAGGCCTTAATTTGCGATCATTTTACTGTTCACCAATCATTACAAAATTCCCACTTTAAGTTCAATATCATATAAGTGATTGGTCAAGAAAAAACCGCTCAGATTTCAAAATGAGGAATCAGTTATACAACACTAAAGTAATGTTATTTCAGTTCACCAACGCTCGCCATTTTACAATGAAACCTTTCAAAGCACATCACAATTGATATTCTCAGTTTTATCAGTTTTCAGTATTTATTTTATTTGTCTCAAAGACTTAACTTTATAAAATAAGTATGTCTATTCCATATAAAAATTGTCAACGGGATAATAAGTCAACTTTATTTACTTTTTCATCCATTTACAAATATATGGGCTTCGATTTGCCTTGGCAGTGGATTTTAATGACAAAGAAAAATACTTAAATGACTGTTTCAATGATATCGTATTTCAGCGATTAACTATCTTTGCAACAATTCATTTAAACATAGAAATACCCAACATGTATTCTCTGTCAAAACAGTTCGCCATGTTTATTTCAGGGTAATGAAGTACTTAGAGAAGACTTGTAATGGCGCATAAGAATAGGGCCACTATGTAGAATCCTGCCACCTTTTACCCGCAAGAACGTCTGGATTCACTGGACATTTTTGTATATTAAAACGTAAATATGTCCATTAAAATACTGGTTTTGAAGTAGATGACAACTAATTTCGTTGTAGCGGGAGTAACAAAATTTTACAAAAAATAACCGTGCTTGAATTTTTTTATATTATTTGTATAGATTTGTAACTTACAGCTATAGAACAGAATATACATTATACAAATTATGTCACGGAATTTTGTTAAGTAAGTATTTTAATATACAAAAATATACTATGATCAAATATAACTGCTAATAATCGAGCCTGAAAAGAATGAAAACGTTGAACATAGTTTAAAACAATCCATTTTTCCCGTCAATTGACAATAATCCTAACTAAGCATGACAATTACACTTACTCATATATCTATATATAATATTATAACATAGCCCTTTGGCATTCTCTCACTACATTATACAACTACGACGCTCTATGTACATTATGTATATCAATCAATCCCGTGCTGCTCTATACCACATAGATGAATCAATCGGCTGTGTCCGGCCTCTCTGATTGACCGATACAGGTCACCAACTAAACCTACCTTATTAGGCGTTCTTCGCTTCCAGAGTAAATGGACGTCCCATCGCTAATCCCACCATTTATACCCTTGAATAATTTGCTGACGTCACCAGACCAAGGTCTAAATGATCTGGAGAAGTGAGGGTAGGATCGTTAGGCCCTCGAACCAACATGCATGTAAATGTACTGGGCGGGGTCTATTGTCACGATCAGATAACTATTTCATCATCATAATTGGATTGCAACTATCATCTGCCAAGTAGCATTATTATCTTTGTTATATGAGTAAAGAGTCTTCTTGTAAAGATTGCTGTCGGAAACTACGAATCCAATTCATCCATAAAAAATATAATCAAGTCCATATTTCTGGATAACTGACCATAGACAAAGCCATTGTTGGATTCTACAGTTGTGTTGTGCATTAGCTTAGACTTGTATCAATACAATATTTCACGAGAACATTAAAATGGTTTGTGTTTTTCATAAGAGTGTTACGTTTCAGTTTGTGTAGCTGATGTCCATGTCATCTGAATGACCCGGATGTCAACTGCTTCAATTATCTTGAATCACGCATTTCAATCAAAGACACTTTTATAATTACAAACTACTAAAAAATAAACAAAATAGACAAGATTAATAGAAGATTTAGTATGGTGACATTCTTACAATAAAAAAATAATATAACAAGTTTGTTTGCAATTTATTTGAAATAGAAAAATCAATTTAAAATTTGTGTAAATATAGTATAAAGTTAATGAACCTTTACACAATTTGCATTCACTGATAAATGCTTGCTTCACGGTATGCACACAAAACAATTAGAAAACACATATATCTCTGTCATGAACTACGTCATTGACGTTTATGCCATTTCATATCTCTCTCACAGGACTTTACGGATAATGTATTTTTGCCTTATGCTTTTAAATCAATTTATATTAAATGCATTATTTTTCTAATTGTATATCTATGTATAAATCTAGATGAAGGTATGATAATGATATTGGTTCCACTGAAATATGCAACGATTAATGAAAAGATATGTATTATTTAATTGGAAACCAATGCAATATCGTTTAAGGATCCCCGTACCACTGTAAAAACACTCTTCCTCGGTATTGGAAACTGTTTTTCTGGCATGGCTATAACTTTCTTAATCGTTTCCGAAAAAAAACATACCTTACATGTACATTACTTAAACAAAGTACAATCCCCAATATTGTTCAGAGTGTTAGAAAAACACTGCGGGCCTGACCTAAATTCAAACCCTAAACTTCATAATGCTGTACTATCGGTCTAATCGATTGAGCTACCCGTTCGACGGAAATATATCCAAACGGATGTTAAGGGGAGGTTACTGCTTTTAGTAAAAACCACAGTGGAGTCGGGCAGTGATCCTTAAATTCTTATTGTTGTTTTTTCGAGGAAATAAAATATTGTACGAAAGTAAGCGTAGAATAGATTTGAGTGCAATAATCTTTAAATAATACGACAAGTTTCATTAGTAGTCTATTTTGTGAAAAATGTTTTAAATCGTTAAATTGTTCACCAAAAAAAGGTATAACATGGCGCTATCACATAATATCACAAATCGACAACCCTTGTCAGAAATATATGTACAGATTCCTTCGTCGTTAAATTCTTGGAAAAATTCACGTACATTAATACACACTCATCAGAATCAACCTTAAACTTTGGTATTTGATACAGTATGCCGAAAATGAATTAAACAATCGTTTATAACGTATCGGTGACGATAGGGGGAAAACAACTGACACATGCTATGAGTATGACTTTTTTAATCTTGTCAGATACAAACTTATTGCATCTAACTACGACCACCAATGACTCTAGTGAAAATTGTAAGTTAATTCTATAGCAAAAGGCATACATTTCCTTTTGTTTATCTTACTTCTGTTTTCCATTGCTTATATTTGTGCCTAGGTACATATGCACATTTCTACTGTTATTTTTACATCTGCGCTGCAACGTCACTATATAAACCAAGGAAATATAAGTTTTGGTTATAACACTATGAACCAGAATGAGTAGCTAAAAGAACGTGATTGAAATTTAACAAGAATGAGGGAGTCACGTTTGGCTCTCGTTTGAAACTTTTGGACGAGAAGATGTCTATTCCACCATGAACTCATGGTAATAATATCTATTTGTAATAGAATATTCAAACTGTATTACTTCTAGACAGAAATGAAATTACATTTTACATATTATATAGAATGTCTTCGACCCTGCCACAAGTTACAAAGCCAAGCTCCCGCTCACTGTCCACCGTGTCCGTTTCTCACCTTTGTTTGAAATGTCGCTATCAGTCTCGACCGGACGGTCATGATCATATACCACGCTTAGAGAAAGATATGTCTTTCCAACATTCACTAGACAGTTGATCAGTAGTTCACAATGAAGTCCACCAATACTATCATGCCAAACCTTGGTTCCGTTGCTACCTAATTACTTTAAATGTTTCTTCAATATAATTAAATTTATATCTTCACATCGCTCCCGATTGCTCTTCAATATCAACGAATATCTAGACGGCGACTTGCTTACATGTACCGATACGGCCGCTTTACACAGTGATCGAACTTAACCGACATCTCGTCGCGTTGTGACGTCATAAACACACGATGCCGATAAACATAATGATAATGTTTTTAATTATCTTTCATATCTTTGGTACAATACAAATTATGACATAATGATAATATGAACAGATAAATTATGACATAATAATAGGAATAGGTCAATTATGACATAATGTTAAAAGGAATATATCAATTATGACATAATGATAATATGAACAGATAAATTATGACATAATGATACATGTAATAGGAATAGATCAATTATGACATGATGATAATAGGTATAGATCAATTATGAAATAATGATTATAGGAATATATCAATTATGACATAATGATAATAGGAATAGATAAATTATGACATAACGATAACAGGAATAGATAAACTATGACATAATGATAATAGGAATAGATAAATTTGCTTTACGGTTGTTGTGTATATGGACTATATTTAAAACGTCGGTCACAGAAAAAAAAGGCACATGCATTTGGCTGTACCTATAGTCGAACATTCCAGAGATTTTAATAGAATCGTTGTTTTCATATTTTCAATATAATTTTTGTTTTAATAGAAGTAAGAAAGAAGATTTTATAAAAGTAAGAAAGACGAGAAAATGTTATTTATACCACATAAAGATGTGATAGATAAGCAGTATGAATGCTTACTGTATTACATGACTGTAAAACATATCCCTGTATTGCAGTGGGCATTCATATTACCTATGAATCGCATTTAAAAACAGTTTATGCTAAATAAACATTTATTTCTGCTATGCATTTTTATTTATATTATGTACATTATTTTGTTTGGTACTTTAGACTCGCAGTATAAATGCATAGATATAGCTTTGTGTAATTTAATAACTGTTTACGCTTTGGTTATATGGAGGAACCTGCATCAGTCTGGTTGGAAAAACATAGTTTGATTGGTTTAAAAAATAAGAAACTAGTCTTCTGGGTTCACATTTTCTTGTCATATACTACATATAGTCCTTAACAATCAAGTGTCAGTAACACCATACTTTGGTAAAGCTAGGAATCAGAAAATATGGACTACATTGTGTGTAGCATTAGGGTATAAACAAACTTTTAATATGAACACAATATCGCTGATTATGTACGTAGACCATTCAGGTCTGTAAAGTTTTTTATTGTAAAATTCATTAAAAAAATAAGGCAACGATCTTGTATCAAACTAAGTAACCCTTCCGACCGAACAATCACGAAACACAAGAACAGATTTTTAATATAAGTAGAAACTGCATTTTTAACACTGTTCCCATTTAAATAGGCGATTATGCTATATTTAGGTTTAATGACGCACGTACGTTTTCAAACAAACCTTTGCTTAAATCCTATTATTTAAAAGTTCAATAATCCTGTTAATGAATTTAAGAACGACTTAACGTTTCATTGGAAATCAGGGTTCCGGAAATGGGTTTACTAATGGTTAGAGCGAATAACGGTGTCCCGTTCCGGTCTCCGGCCCAATACATTTAAAAAATATGTAGAAAATTTATGTAAATAGCTACGAATTGAATGCATTATAATGCTCAACGTTGATATAAATACTGAACTGAATAAACATTACCTTTAGCAGAAAGAACGAAATTTAATGGCGATTTCCTAATCGATGAATGAATTACTGCCATTGTTTACACTTTAGATGAGATACAATCGATGAAAGTCAAGGACACAAATGTGCGGGGGTGTTTGTTTAAGTGAATGAATGGCTGTAAACTAAAACCTCGTTAGATGTCTATCAATTCGACAAAGTTTCCTCAACAGCGCTCTACGTAATATAAACGTACTTTTAAAACTGTAAATCTGATACTGAGGCTGTATGCATCAATGGTGGACGTGACCGTTTGGTTGTAATCCAAAATAAAAGGGATGATGCCCAAAACATATCCAGGGTCTGTATGAATAGTTTCTGTTGTTTTTTCAACAGACTCAATATTAAAATCCCATAGCATTAAGATTGTTCTTAAATAGAAATTTGCTGAAAATGTGCTCGAACTCAATGCTTTGGATATCCCGACTTCAGTGTTAGATGTCGACTTCTGACAGATACACGTATAACACCGGGCCTCCACAAATGCAGCTTATGAAAACAATGCACATGTTCTATGGTCGCGATGATAATATCATTGGGAAATTTTCCTTGTGTGATATGAAGGTACATGTTTTTTGTTACGTTCTTTTGTGTCTGTTGCTTTTTTCTTTTTTTCTTCCAGAAGTGTACAGTTAAAGGGNTCCCGAATTGTGTTTTATTATTAAAATAACAACATGACATGTAGAAAAACAGACTTATGAAAACTGCATCAAAGATAAAACACGTTTGACATTCCTTAATATACACTGTACATAAGCATTTGTTCATTATTGTACCCGTTGTCAGTATAATGTGACTGGGTGGAATTCGGTGCCGGGTGCTTTCGGAACATTCACGTTGTTGGGTGTATGCTATCTCAAAGATCTGCTCGACTTAATTATACATTCGT